AAATAGGAAAGGCGGGAGGTGTCTAGAAGTTTGACTACATTTCCAAACCAGATATTACTTTAAAAAATTATCCTATATAATAAAAGCCTAATATGCCAAGTGTCCGGTAGTCCATTCAACCAATCAAAGTGTAATATGCTAATGATATGCTAAGGCTGCTCAACCGTTCACTATGACGTGCACTGACCACCAGGGAGCAGACAGCTGTGCCTTCTCACAATCCAGGGCCCCTCAGGAGATGCTGGAGAGCTGGTTTCGGTCTGATCCCGCAGGCCAGGCTGAGGAACCCCACTGGTACATGAATTCGTGCACCGGGCCTCTAGTCTCATAATATTTGTGATTATCTACATTAGGGTCAGCAAACAGTCAGTGTTTTTTATAACAACTGATGAGGTAAGAAAGGTTTTTACATTGTTAAAGGATTGTAAACAAACATAATCACTAAGAATGTGCAGAGACAGGATGTGCCCTGAAAAGGGGAAGTCTTTACTCTTTGACCTTTTATGAAACAAGTTGGCCAACTCTTGATCTACATCATTCAGGATACAAAGTATATTTCTTTACATGAACATTTAAAATTTCTTGCTCTCTTGTTTTTGTTCTGTATTGGCACTTTAAAAAAAAGGTTATATAGTTTTCCTTTGTACGTGTGTACCACAATTTAAGAGTGGTTATTTATTTTTTGCTTTTATAGCCAATATCAGAATTAGCATATTGTTGCACATTTTTGTGACTTAGGGAATTGCTTGGTCAAATATTATATGCAATTTAAAGTTTGATAATTATTGCTAAATTGCCCTCCCATCAAATTGGATTCTTTTCTATTTCTCCCAACATTGTTTTCCTTACTCATATAGACCTTGACCGAGATAAAATAGTTTGACTCTTTAATCAGATAGGTCTCTTCATTTTCTGTTGCTGAGTAACAAAGAATTTGGTGGCTTAAAACAACATCATTATTTATTTTGCTCACAAATATTCAGGTCAGTTTGGGCTTGGTGGGGACAACTTTTCTGTGCTTTACTTGATGTCATTCATTTCTGAGTGTCAAAGGCTGGGGACTGAAATGGTCATATGTCTGCTTTAGCTGGGATCTCATCTGGGGCTGAGGAGAACACCACGGAAATCCTTTCCATCTGGCTGCTTGGCAGCCTCGTAGCAGGGTGACTGAATTCCAAGGAAGAGCACCCTGTAAGAGGACGAGGTGATTATATGATTTAGCCTCAGCAGCCACCTAGCATCATTTTTACCACCGTCACAGACCTGCCCAAGTTTAAGGGAGATGGAACATAGACCCCCCACTTTGTAATGGAGAAGTGGCAACATTACTTGTAAGAGAACATGTGGGATGGGAAGTATTGGTGCAGCCATTTGGACACTGCAGTCTGCCACAAGGTAGAATGTTCGTTTTGGCGTGCTTATCTACAATTATGATTATACAGTTGACACTTGAACAACATGGGTTTGAACTGTGTGGGTCCACTTATATGTGGATTTTTTGCAATAAATATATTGGAATATTTTTTGGAGATTTTCTTACTGCTGTGAAGCAATCATATTGATTATCCTAGGGTACCAGATTGATGCTTCTTCATTACCAATGCATGAATTGTTATACTTCTAAATAAATATGAATTTCTTTTTCACAGTACCTTTTCATTTTTGGATGTTTAGTTTTAGTGATATGTTTAACATCTGAAGTGTTTTGTATTTATCATATAAGACAATATTGATGTAGGTATTGACACGATTCATCTAGTAAAAAGACATCATAAACTTATGATATTGATAAATACAGTACAGTGCTGCAAATGCATTTTCTCTTTATGATTTTCTGAATAACATTTTCTTTTCTCTAGCTTACTTTATTGTAAGAATACAATATAAAATGCTTATTCAAAATATGTGTCAATTGACTATTTATATGATCAGTAAAGTTTCCTTCTAGTCATTAGTAGGCTATTATAGTTAAGTTTTTTGGGAGTCAAAAATTATACATGAAATTTCCACTGTGTGTGGGGGGATAGGTGTCCCCTGTTCGAAGGTTAACTACATCTTTTCATACGTTTATTGACCACGTCTACTTCTGTGACTTGTCTTTTTATATCAGGTCCATGAGTACCTGGGACCTTGGCTTTTTCTTCACTCGTAATATTACAACATCTAGAGGCACCAGTTTACAATCATACTAATGAGTAATTCATCTTTTAAAACAACAAAAGCAAATGTTTCAGATCTACAGTGCATGCCACTTAAGTCTTGTTTTAGAAATTATTCTGGAAAGATTTGTTAAAAAATTAAGGAATTTCGAGTCATACGATCCTTTGCCCACTGCCAGCATTTCAGGTAGCAGAGTTGTGCTTTAATTACATCCTTCAGGCCTCCAAGTCAAAGGTGAATAAGAGGTTTTAATTTCAGATGCTAGTGAATGTTTTTTATAATTTTCAAGAAAAACAATTTAAAATATGTTACATGCAATAAACATTAACATTTCAAGAAAAATGATTTAGTGAATGTTTTTAACCTCTATATAGGATATCTTATAGGAAGTGTTTAAAATATGTTAAGTGTTTAAGGTTATGTTAAGTCCAACTTAAAAATTAAATTCTATTCAGCTTTAGATTTGGAGATGAGTGTTACTAGTGCATATCTTCGCTGCCTAAAGCTATTGCTGTAGAATGAAATGCCCAGAGTATTTTATAACTGAAAGCACGGAGCATTTGAGAAAGTTTAGAGATTGTTGGCAAAGAAAGCTGTATGGAATGTTATTTTGAAGAGTAATTCCAAAGACTGTAATTTAATTACAAAGATCCCTTCCGCAATATCTGTGCATTCATTACAGTTCAGTCTCTGTCCAAGCCCTGCATCCTGCTTTGTTAAGGCACTCAGTCCCGTTGTCCTTGTATTTGTCATAAAATTACTCTCTTGAGTTGAAGGATAGGTCAATGCTCTGCCCTCTGCAGCAATAAAGTATAAAGACCAGATTATATCTATTAGGTGTGTATATATAGATATATATGTTATATACGTGTGTGTGTGTGTGTGTGTATGGAAAGATACATATAACCTCTTTGCTTTCTTCCTGCTTTCCTTCTTTTGAGATACCCCTCTCATTATTTATCACTTACTGTTTTATTTCTTTGTTTATATTTTGTTACTTAGAAATGTTGAGATTAAAAGATGAATAATGATAGTGAGTAATCCTAACCTCATGGGATTGTTATGAGGATTAAATAGGTCACATGTATGAAGTGTTTTGGACAGTACATGGCACATGGTAAGCATTTAATAAGTGCTAACAGTACAGTGATGGTAATGGTCTCTGCCATTAAGTCTTTTCTTCCTCGGTTAATAGGGAAAATGACTAAACAACTTCCTGAAGTACAAGGCTGAATGAAAATAAGTGTATAGAAGAGATAGAAGCAAAGTTCTTTTTATTCTAAGAAAGGAGCAATTAATTTCAGCTAGAGCTAAGGAAGAAGGAATCTTGTCTCCTTAACTTTGAAGTGGAAATGGGATCTCTTTAAAGAGAATGGTATTCTAGATCATTTCTAGCAAAAGCATGGAGCTAGGAACATGCATGGAACCGTAAGCTGTCATGCGTGACTGAGGTCTAGTGTGAAGTCAGGATAGGATGTGGAGATGTCGGATTGCACAGGCTTTGAAGACAGTAATGGGAAGTTTGTATTTGGTGTTAGACGCTTTGGGTAATATTCTCAAGCCTTTCAATAGAGTACAGGATTGCAGTCTTACAGCAAAATAAATGTGATTATTGTGTGTAGGCAATGATTGGTGGGCCTGTCAATTTAAGATCTTGACTGAGAGGGCTAATGGAAATATATAGTAGGAGGAAATCGTTGCTGTAATCCAGGGTGTGAAATGGAAACTGCAGATTGTGGGAAAATGAGTCTTTTAGAGTAAGCCCTGGGAACTTTCTGTAAATACATTTGGGACTTTTTATACGTAGGGGGTTAAACAAATTTATTAGACAATAACCTTCTCTCTTAAAGAATCTTAATCTGTGGATTGGGAGAAAGGATTGCATGTAAAGAAAGAACTGTACTTTTCTGGTTGACTGCGCATGTAACTAAAGATGGACTTACCTCAGTAGAATAGGCTGTCTTTTAGCCCGAAGGGAGAGCTTTAAGCATATTTTAAAACTGAGCACTTTGTTTCTATTTTTAAGTCTCCAAAAATAATCATTTGACACAGAGAACCAGCTTTTGGGAACGAATCTCAGATTTCAGCATTGCCAGCATTTTTTCAGTGTGATTTGAGATGATTTGGCTATCCCTTAAGTTATCTTGTATTTTTGTTGATTTGTACTGTTGGTTAAGGAGCTTTTGCCTTTCTGACACACTTGTAACTCCAAATAATTCATGCACCCTAGTTTGAGAAATTGTTGGGAAGGAGGCCTGATTAGGAAACAGCTTGGGTGGCTGCTGGTTGTGAGAATCTAAGCTCACGACAGTTGAATTATTGGCTGGATGGAGTGACCACGAGTAATTGCACTTATTTTTTGGTTTTGGCCTCTTTTCTTGGTTGTACAGATAGATGGTCTGAACTAGCAATAGGGTTGTGTGTATGTAATAGCTGCTGATTTTCTGTTGGTTTGAGATGGACTTTGCATGTCTACCAGCACATCCTTCTGAAAGGGAAAAAAAAAGCAAATTACTACTTAGTTTATGTTCCAGGAAATACTAAGGCTGTTCTGCAGGTAAATAGCACCTATGTAACATTTATGCTTTTCAAAAATATTTCACATTGTCATTTCATGCTCACAACATGAAAGTGACATTTTTTTAACCTTGTAAATGCATAGGGAGGGGATGCTGAGACATAAATAAGAAACTCTGTGAAGATTGCTGTCTCAACAAATAGATGTCTGGGACAACTTACTGTCTTTCATTTTTGAATTGTAACTTTCAGAAAATTTTATAAGAGGAAAAAGCTGAGCACCTCTCTCCCTCTCCCTCTCTTTTTTTTTGGCTACTTTTTAGCGTCGTCTTAGACACCTTCGGAACATTGCTGCCCGGAACATTGTGAACAGAAATGGCCATCAACTCCTTGATACCTACTTCACACTTCACTTGTGTAATTCTGAAAAGATATATAAAGGTAAGGGAATCTGTGGACTCACTCCCCACAGGTCATTACGTCTCATTTTTATTCTTTTGTAACACAAGTGCCTCTTGCTGTTATTGCTTACTGGAAAGCTAAATTGTCATGCTGTGAAAATATTTCCCTGTGCAGTTGTATATATTAAAGAAACATGACGTTTAAGTAGTTCTTTCAGATAACTAAGCCTTACATTGATAAGTTTATCATTCCTTTATGAATATCTTTATTCCAGTAGCTGCCACTTAAAATATATGAGGCCAGTATCCAGTACTAATTTGCTTTTTAAAAAAATGTAATTGCTTTCTTTAATACTATGGTAAAATTGGGTCCTAGTTAATATTTTCTTATATGTGTAATTCCTTGTGAATATGGAGCCATTTTTTTTTATAAGAATTGTCATGGTTTTTATGAATTAAGTTTTATGTATTGAAATGTTGATTCTTCCGTAAGTGACAGTTCTAAGAGTAGAGCAGATATTTTATTCAAAATCACAAGTGTCTTTTGAATACATATTGCGTGAAAAGCACTTTGATATAATCGGTGACCTTATGCCAGGTGGTGTAAGAAGAGAAGCAAATGTAATGATGGGAGTATTAGATTAGGATTGAAAATATCGATACTAGTACTAGCTCAGCTATTCACTAGCTGTATGACTTTGGTAAAAGACTATGGCTTTTTGAACCCAAATTTTCCCATTTGTAAAACGGAAATAAGGAGGTTCTGTGAAGCCGGCAAGACATTTTTATGAGGATCAGCTGAGAAGGTGATGACACTTGGTAGGATGTGATTAAAGGTCTTATATTAACAAAAGATGGCATTATTTTATTGAAAGTTACTAAGGATTTATTTTTTTAATTTTTTCCTGTGGCAAAGATGAACTATTCAAATGACATTTATCTTTTGGTTTTAATTACTTTTCCAGACCATTATTAAAGGAGTAGTTGTTTTACCAACTTAAAAAAATTTTAGCCGAAACCGGTTTGGCTCAGTGGATAGAGCATCAGCCTGCGGACTGAAAGGTCCCAGGTTCGATTCCGTCAAGGGCATGTACCTTGGTTGCGGGCACATCCCCAGTGGGAGATGTGCAGGAGGCAGCTGATCGATGTTTCTCTCTCATTGATGTTTCTAACTCTCTATCTCTCTCCCTTCCTCTCTGTAAAAAATCAATAAAATATATTTTAAAAATTTAATGCCAGCATATGCTCATTAAAACATTCAATCAGGGGTTACATAGAGTAGAACCCTCCCACCCCTATTTTAAATAGCATTACAATATTTTTTAAGGATGAAAAAGGACTCTGAAATCTGGCATTTTATTTCATTCTTATTTTTTATTCTGACCATTGCATGCATATACATATTTTTATCCTCACGTGAGGATAGATTTGTTCTTTATTGACGAGAGAGAGAGAGAGAGAGAGAGAGAAAGAGAAAGAAAGATGGATCATTTGCCTCCCCTATGTGCTCAATGGGGGATGGAATTCACAACCTGAGTATGTGCCCTGACTGGGAATTGAACTCGTGACATTTCAGTGTATAAGACCGCACTCCAACAAACTGAGCCACACCAGCCCGGGCACCATTGCATATTTTAAAAACAATTGTAGTAATTTGAATGATTAATGCTAGCTACTGTAACAAGTACCACAAATCTCAGTGGCTTAACATAATACATTTCTTGAACTAAGTTCAGTACAGATATTCTTTATCTGGTAGTGTCCTGGCAGATGTCCAGTAAGTGGTGACTCAGGTACCCAGGCTCCTTCTATTTTGGAATGCTGCTGCCACCAACATAAGACCTCTGGCATGGCAAGAGATGGATTATTTGAGGGAAATTTTCTTAATGGAAATGGCCCAGCTTAATTCCATTACATTCCATTGGCCGGCCATACATTTGAGTTGTCTTTTTTAGGTGAAAAGGGCCTGGGAAATGTCTTCCTTTGTGTCCAGAGGTAAATAAACAGTTTGGTTGCTATTTGTCCTAAAGATATAAGCAGTTTTACAGATCTTAAAACTTTTGATCTACTGCTCACTAATTGGTTTTATCATTGGCAATATATGACAATGCCAGAGTATTTTAAATGTTTGATAGATTTCTATATAATTAGTTATTGTTATCTTCATAGAACTTCTGTATCCTTGCTTCAGTGTTACCTCTGATAATAGTAATTAACATAGTATTTAGTGCATTTTAGGTAGGTGGTAAATGATAGCAGTTGTTATTAGAATTGTAATGTTAATAATCATAATAGTAGTTTCTAAAAAGAGAATAGTCACAGGAGTGGCTGATGACCATGATGTAAAAACTTGTCTAAGAGATATAAAGAAAGTCATCTTTTTTGTTCTTGTTTTTCGTCTTCTAGCTCAGATTACATTTTGAGTTTAGAAGTGATCATAGACTGTTTCTCTATTTCAATAAAAATGATCACTAATACAATTAGCGAATAGCTGGTGACAGACCACAGGGAAGTCCAGTGTTGGTGGTGGTTTTGAGTCTGTCACTAAATGGCATTTAGTTAACTTATATCTAAAATGAGAGGATTGACGATTTCTGGGACTTTTTTCTGCTCCAAAATGTCATGGATGAATGAAGTCTATTCATGGTGGTTTTGTTGGGCCCATAACTTAACCTATAACAGGAGGAGCCAGGAAGCTCTTTCCTTACTAACCTAGTTATACCACCTTGTCTTATTGGAACTGTGATGACAAATTCAGGTCCAGTTATTCATTTCATGAATATTATGTGGCCCTTGGTGTAGGATGACCATGATAGAAAGCCAGTTGGCTCATCACACAAAACCACCTGTAACACTTGTTTAGTGGCATCGTTAATTTTAAAATAAAGTGTTTTTATTGGAAGAATATTTGAAATGCTGATTTCCAAGTTATTCTTTTATTTCAGCTGAATTCGCAGCAGATCCTAAGAAGTTATATATGAGATTTTTTAAAAAATCGACATCTTTTAGTGCTCTTAGGAGACTGTCTGCCTTTTAGGTAGTTCAAATCAAACACTAGTTATTACATTTCCAGAGAACAAAGCCTTGTGTTATGTATGAGGAGCTAGGTTTTAATCCTAGTTTCCTCTTAAATTTGGAATATTTATAAAATCAAGGTTGTTCTTAAGCCATAATTATTTTCTCACCGTGAAATGTGAGTGCCTGTCTTCTCCTGGAACATCAGCCAGCTATTTTGAATACATCAGAAGACAAACTCTATGTAATCCATTTTGGTGATCTCATCCAAGTCTTATAGTTTTAAATATCATTTATCACTAACAACTTGCAAACATATTCTTAGCTTGAACCTCCCCTCTGAACTCATATTCCTGTATTTAGTCACCTACTCTACATCTCTTTTTGGAGTTTAGTAGGTAACTTAAACTTAATATATTAAAAACCAAGTTTCTGATATTCTAGCTCTGAACCACCTCTTGTATTATTCCTTCTTTCAGAAAATGGCAACTCCATCCTTTCATTTCCTTGGCCAAAAACCTTGAAATCTTCCTGAATTGTCCTTTTTTATATCCCACATCCAATCTTTCAGCAAATACTTTTGGCTCTTAGCTATCAAAATATATCCATAAGCCAATCACTGCTTATACCTCCAAACCACTGTCATCTCTTGCCTGAATTATTGAAGTAGACTTTTAGCAGGTTTGCCTGCTCATGTACCCTGTTCATTATGTTCTCACCCCGATCTCCTAAAATGAAAGTGAGATCATATTATTCCTTTCCTGAAAACCCTTCAGTGCCTTCTCGTCTTGCTCAGTAAAAGCTAAAATCCTTATTAAGTTTTCCAAAAGGCCTTTCATGGTCTGATCCTCTGTTACCTCTTGGAACCCATCTCCTTCTACTCTTCTCTGTTCCAGCGACACACACCTTACTGTTCCTTGAATATATCAAGTTTATCCAATTTAAAAGCTTCTGTACTTAGTCTGTCTTTGTCCTGGGCACACTTTCCTCCTACATCTATATGACAAGCTCCTCCACCTCCTTTAAGGTCTTTATACCAAATGTTTTCTCAGAGAAACTCCCCTGATCACTGACTAAACCCTTTTAAAAATTGTGACTATTCTCTTCCTGTCTTTTGTGCTTTGTTTTTCTCCACAATACTTAAGGTCATTTGACATACTACTTGTTTAATTATTTGGTTAATGTATATCTCTCTCCACTAGAATGTAAGCTTTATGAGGGCAGAAATTTGTGGGTCAGTAATTTTTAGGTCACTTTTGTTCACTGCAATGTCTCCAATACTTGGAACGATGCTTGGCACATACTGAGCTCTTAAACATATTTTTTTCCATTAATTTTTTGAATAGGTAACGCAGTCCCTGGTTTAGAATATATATAAAGTGCAGTTCATGTATAGAAAGTGTGTATGTATACATACATACATACACATATATGTTTGTGTGTACATAGGTTTGTGTTAGTCTTCCTTTCACCTGTCCAAGCTCCCTAGTTTTCCTCCCCGCCCTGACAACCAGTTATTCCTCTCTTGTTTATCTTTCCTGAGATTCTTTATACAAACACAAGTAAAATTAGTACCAAGCTATATATATTTCTGTGCTTGAAATTTTAACTTAATATACCCTAAATATTTTTCCATATTTAAATGTTTTTTCATGCCCTAAATGTTTTCCCATATTGGTTCATAGAGAGCTTTCCTTATTTTGCATTGAATGAATTATTTAACTGGCTCCTATTAGTAGGCATTTATAGGTGGTTCTAATCTTTTGCTGTACACATAGTACTGTATTGAATAACTTTACAAGGACATTATTTTGTACATTCCAAGAAGTAAAATTACAAAGAGAGGGTGTACTCAGCAGCTATGGTAGCTATTAGAAAAGCGTCCTTATTTACTTCCACTTGCTCTGTCCTTTTTCCCAGAGCCTCACCAACAGCCTCTACAATCAAACTTCCGAATTTTTGCCAATCTGATAAAATAGTTTTATAGTATAGTTTAAGTTTGTATTTTTCTATTCTGAGTGAGGTTGAGCTACTAAAAAAGCATTTGTTGAGTGAGTGGAATGCTACATAACAGCCAAAACATGCCATTGGAAGCGTGTTTAAAAACACGCCTTGGCATGGATAGAGGAATGTTTGTATCTGATGGTCCTTTTCATGTAGAAATAAGTCTCAGATAATAATCATTTTTGCTCAGATTGAATTAATAAAAATTAATAGAATTGTATTAATAAAAATATAATGTATAGTTCACGATTTTTTTTGAGACTCAAAACAGCCCTGTTATTTTTCTGGTGTAATTCTCCTTTGTAAACTAAAGAAACTATGGCCTAAAAAGGTTGACTTGTCCAGGGTCAAGCTTATACATGGTAGTTTGGGGACTGGAACTGGTTTTCAACTAAATTTTTAAAAAATTCATTCTCTTTTTTCACGATGCTGCTGATTTTATTGTAATAGAATGTTTTAGACGTAACAGAATGATATACACTGTAGACCCATGTTTAGCATGTTAGAAATTATTTCAGACTCAGTGATTTCTTTTCAAATTGTGTGGCTCCTTTGTTGGCCTCTCTACATTTAAATTAGAAAGTCCGTTTTGAGGGTCTCATGGAGAAGAAAAATTGTTTAGTTTCATCTATAATAATAAAAGTGTAATATGCCAATTAGACCGGACAGCTGAATGACCTTCCGGATGTCCTTCTGGACGAAGCCGCTGTGGTGGGGACCGAGGCAGAGGTGGTTAGGGGTGATCCGGCAGGCAGGCAGAGTGGTTAGTGGCGATCAGGCAGCCAGGCTAGTGGTTAGGAGCCAGCGGCCCTGGATTCCGAGGAGGATGTCCTACTGCCGGTTTACCGGCAGTCAGACATCCCTCGAGGGGTCCCAGATTGTGAGAGGGTGCAGGCCAGGCTGAGGGACTCCCCTGTCTCCCGTGCATGAATTTTGTGCACCGGGCCTCTAGTTTATATATAATCAGCAAAGTTTTGAAAGAAATAATACTATTCATCTTCTAAGAGCTGGAGGTATTTATTTTGGGAACTGATTAGTAGTTTAACTTTGCAGATTAAAAGAAAAAAAGAGTATCTTTCTCCCCCACCCCCCACTGATTTTAAAAGTAATACATATTGTAATGAATTCAAATGATAGAAAAATGTAAAAGTATAAAGCAAAAGTACCTTGTTATAGAAAACAACAACTTTTAGCCCTTTTAGTTATTCTTTCTAAAAATATATATGGTGTATATAAATTAGAACATATGTATATATTAACATAATAAACACATTAAATTAATATATGTAAATACATTAAATTAAATATATGTTTTTAAAGTATATATTTTATTGATTTTTTTACAGAGAGGAAGGGAGAGGGATAGAAAGTTAGGAACATCGATGAGAGAGAAACATTGATCAGCCGCCTCCCTCACACCCTCCACTGGGGATATGCCCGCAATCAAGATACAAGCTTGACTGGAATCGAACCTGGGACCTTTCAGTCCGCAGGCCGACGCTCTATTCACTGAGCCAAACCGGTTTTGGCTAAATATATGTTAATTTATTAATAAATTAATTTATTAATTTACATACATACATATGTATCTCTAGTTAATTTATGGTTGGAGTAATTGGTTGGCCATTTGGGAAATAAAATGAAAAGAATAATACTTAGTGTTGCCTAGTGTTGGGGAAACAGGTATTCTCATAAGTGGGATTGTAAATTGGTACAGTATTTTTAGTGAATAATTTGGTAATATATCAAACTTATGCAACTTTACTTCAAAAGATTTTTTATTTATAACATTAATTGAAATATCTAAAAATTGGCAGTACCCTAAATGTTCATCAGTAGGAGATTCTTTTTTAAAAAAATATATATTTTATTGATTTTTTTACAGAGAGGAAGGGAGAGGGATAGAAAGTTAGGAACATCGATGAGAGAAACATCGATCAGCTGCCTCCTGCACACCCCCTACTGGGGATGTGCTTGCAACCAAGGTACATGCGCTTGACCAGAACTGAACCTGGGACCCTTCATTCTGTAGGCTGACGCTCTATCCACTGAGCCAAACCGGTTAGGGAAGTAGGAGATTCTTTTTTTTTTTGTCTTTTTGTTAATCCTTTCCTGAGGATATTTTTTCCATTGATTTTTAGAGGGAGTGGAAAGGAGAGAGAGAGAGAAACATTGATGTGTGAGAGACACATCAATTGGTTGCCTCCATGAGCCTGAAAGGGGCCAGGGGTTGAACCTGCAACCCAGGTAGAAGCCCTTGACCAGAAATTGAACCAGAGACCCTTCGGTGTGCAGACCAACACTCTGACCATTGAGTCACACTGGCCAGGGCAGTAGCAGATTCTTTTTAAAGACGATTAGAATGATCTCTTTTCTTATTTCAAATAATTATTTGGAGATAGAAAAATTAGAAAGCTTTAAAGCAAAAACTAAAAGTAAACAAATTAATCTTGTCATCTAAGATAAACATTGTTAATAATTTGGATCCTGTTATAAATTCTTAGAACCTGTTTTTTTTTTTTTTACTTAATATATTGTGACTCTTTCTCCACAAAATCAAATATCCTATCTTTATTTTTTTAGGAAGACAAGCTGAGAGTAACATAGATGATACGTTTGTCAAGAAGTGCTTTAATCAAAAGAGTATGCACATAAAAGTGTTATGACCACCTTCTCTGGTTTGGCTCAGTGGATAGAGCATCAGCCTATAGACTAAAGGGTTTGATTCTGGTCAAGGATACGTACCTTGGTTGCAGGCTCCTCCCTGGCCTGAGCCCTAGTTAGGGCTCGTGCAGGAGGCAGCCAATTGATGTATTTCTTTCACATTGATGTTTCTCTGTCTTTCCTTCTCTCTTCCACTCTTCCTAAAAGTCGATGGAAAAATAATCTCGGATGAGGATTAACCAAAAAAAAAAAAAAAGTGTTATGTCCATGTCTGCTTTTTATTTACTGCGTGATGATTCCCAAGCTTCAGTTATCTTTTTTTTTAAATATACTTTTATTGATTTCAGAGAGGAAGGGAGAGAGAGCTAGAAATTAAAACATCAATAATTAGAGAAAATCATTGATCGGCTGCCTCTGTAGGCCACACACTGGGGATTGAGCCCACAACCTGGGTATGTGCCCTGACCGGGAATCGAACTGTGACCTCCTGGTTCATAGGTCGACTCTCAACCCCTGAGCCACACCAGCCGGGCCAAACTTCAGTTATTAGTGGATCACCTTGACAAGTTGCACTCTTATTTGAATGTTACCTATACCATTGCGTATTTAATATATTTTTAAAAGTTGATTATTTTTAAACTTATGGTTAAGAATAATGTGTGAAATTGTTGATTCAAAAAAACTTTTGTCTACCCTGTGCCAGGAATGGTTTTATGTACTGAGGAGACAGCAATTGTACAAAACAGACACTACTCCTCCTCCTTTATGGAGCTTACGATGAGTGGTGTAATATGTACAACACAAGTTTCAGTGTATTAGAAAAAATATAATTTGTCCATGAATCATCTAAAATCACCTCAAGTACCAATGATATGTGCATCACATTTGGGAAATAGTTCCCTTTAGCAACGTAAGGATACAAGGGTCCTTGTAGGCTCTGCAGAGATAGACAGAGTATCCTGGAGATGACGTTGGCAGGGTCTACAGGGAATGTTGGAGAGTAGTTGGAAATGTCTGCCTCAGTCACATTTCTCTTTTTTGATTGTGTCTTCTGGTTTTCTAACATTTACAACATACTTGAAGGTTTGTAGAATCATGAAAGTTAAAAAAAATTTTTTTAATCCTCACAGGATTTTTTTAATTGATTTTAAGAGAAAAGAAGAAGGAGAGGGAAAGAGAGAGAGAGATCATGTGAGAGAGAAACATTGGTTGCCTCCTGTAGGAGTTCCAACCTGGGATTGAACCTGCAACCTAGGTCTGTGCCCTGACCGTGAATTGAATCCACCACCTTTTGGTGTACCCGATGATGTTCCAACTAACTGAGCCACCTGGAGAGGGCTGAATTATTAAATTTTAATGTTTACAGAGGATGTTTGGTCATTAGTCTAATTTTCTAAGTTGTCTGATGAAAAATGACCCCAAAGAAATGAAAGAGACAGAATATTAATGACAGGTGGAATCAGAACTTAAGTTACCTGGTTGCTAGATCACTATTCACTTTACAATCCTACAGTGAATAATCATAAGTGATGTTTGAGAAAAACAGAGAATACGGAATCGGTTGTAGAGAGTGGGAGTAGGTAGGGGATAAGAAAGTCTGAGTTTTAAGGACTCAAATTAGAATCTAGGGTAAAAGGAGCCAGTAAAAGTAAAAGTAGCTAACCTAAATCGTAACAGGTTTCGACCTTCCTTTACTAATGTTTTCCCCTTTAAAACACTTTCATTTAACCTTTATTTCTTTAATTTTTTACAGATAAAGATATAGAGAGACTAGATCCCTTGAAAATGTCTTACTGAAACAAATGTTAAAACATTTACCAGATTAAGAGTTAATGAATTTTATTTTTTTTCCAGATCACTTATTGTTCTTTTTCTTTTTTTCCAGAATTTTATAGAAGTGAAGTGATTAAGAATTCCTTGGTAAGTTTGCCTTCTGACAGGTGCATATACCTATAACTCCTATAAGGTCAAGTTTAGTTCTGCCTTCTCCCATTAAATCTTCTGCTTAATTACTGCTTAAATCTTTATTGATTTGTTCATTGCTGTATCTCTGGTGCTTAAAACATGCCTGGCACATACCAGATGGTTGATAAATATTTGCTGAATGAACTGATATTTTTTCCATTAAAAACTTTGGTGTTTTTTCAAATTAAATTTTATAATTCTATCACTTCTATTTACTGTAGAGGTTTTTGACTTACCAAACATTGTAATAAATGATATTTTGTTTAGATATAGTTCTTTAAAATGCTGTCGTATAGGATCCTTCCCCTGCTTTTGGGAATGGCATTCCTCAGTTAGAAATTGGGAAGTGTTCTACTTTTGATAATCTGTACACTTGATATTTGCATAAATGACTCAATTTATTGGGCCATATTGATAAAAAGAAGAGCTTTATGCCAATGATAATATCCTTTTAATGGTCTAAGACCATACTGGATTTGACCACTGTCTACATTTTTAAACCTCATCTCCTAATATTTTTTCTCACTCATTGTGTTCTAGGCATAACTCATTTTTCAGTGCTTTGAACATGCCCAGCGTGTCTTGTTCCTTATACCTAGAATACTTGCTCCCACAAGTATGGGAAACATTTGGCTGAAGAATTCTTTGAGGTCTCAGCTACGTGATTTCAGCCAGACCTTCTATGACTATTCCATCTAAAGTATTTCCCTCTTGTCCTGACCTGTTGGAGTGTTGTCCTGTACACCGAAAGGTCTTGAGTTGGATTCCTGGTTTGGGCACATACGTAGGTTGTGGGTTTGATCTCCAGTTGGAGTGCATATAGGAGGCAACTGATCGATGTTTCTCTGTCACATTGATGTTTCTTTCTCTCTATAAAAATCAATACAAACATATCCTCAGGTAAGGATTAGAAAAAAATGCTGCTCTTTAAAAAAAAAATACAGTAGTTCCCTTTTCTCTATTCACTGTTTTTCACGTCATCTGTTTTATTTTCTTTAGAGCATTCTCACTATTGGGGACTCCTGTTCACTTGTTTATTTATTATCCATCTCCCATCTACCACAGCTTAAGTCTCTTGAGAGCAAGGACCTTCCCAATCTTGTGCATCTCTGAAACCCTACAGTGTAGAACAGCTCAGGGAGTATTTGTTAAATGGATAAATCAGTGAGGTATTATATTTTCAGACTCCTTTGAAATATGTTATTCCAGTCCTAGCCAGTTTGGCTCAGTGGATAGAGCGTCTGCCTGCAGATGGAAGGGTCCCGGGTTTGATTCTGGTCAAGGGCACATGCCCAGGTTGTGGGCTTGATCCCCAGTAGCGGGCACTGAGGAGCCAACCAATCAGTGATTCTCTTTTTCATCATTGATGTTTCTCTTCTCTCCCCTTCCTCTCTGAAATCAATAAAAATATATTAGAAAAAAAAATAAAATATGTTCTTCCATTTCGATCCTTAGAAAATCATGAAGGGTAGATGGGGTAGGCCTTAAGAAATTGCCCCACAGAGAGGCCCAGCAACTTTTGTAGTTCTACAACTGCAAGACCAGAACTTCAGTTCCCAGACCTTCTCTCTTAAAGTTTCTACTACTCTTTCCTCTTCATCAAGCTGTCTTCCAAATGTCTCAAATATCATACTAGATTTGGATCCTTAGCCAAACAGATTCCTTAAGCCCATCTCTGAGGAGCTCCAGTCATCAGTAAAGCTCTTCAAGCATTACAGGATTCATGATAAATGGCTAGCATCATGCTTGACATAGTAGCTACTGAGTCAATATTAGTTTTTCCTTTTCTTTTGGCTTAGGTGGAAATAGAAATAGAAAAACCCCCACAGACGAGTGAGAGCTGGGGAAAGGGTTTATAGAGTAGAATGCCACTTTGATTTATCTGCTCCCTTTTCTGTAGTCAAAACTATAGTTGGAGATGGTTTTACAACATCCCCTTGCATTTTCTCTGGATTTGTATCATAATGGACTTTATGCTATAGTGGTACCTTAGTGTATAATTCTGCATTGTTAGTATTGTATTTTCTTGATATTCAGATCCATATTTCTAAACATCATCACTATCTTCAGCTCCTTTGGACTCCTGTCTTGAGTTGCTTCTGAGCTGAGCTGTCTCTACAAAATGTGACATCTTCATCTCCGGTGTACTTAGGCTGAGTCGTGTTTTGTAAAAATAGATTCCAGACAAGGGAGAGGGTTGGACAAAAAGACTTCCAAGGTCCTTTTCACTTCTAGTTTCTCCTGTAATTGTTTCCTGAGTATACCACTTACCAGCACTTGCTTGCATTGTACTTGTTCAAAAGCATTTCATTTCCGGAAGTGGATGAAAGCTCCTGGAGGTTGGAGACTGCCCGAATATCTTTATGTCACCCTAGCTCCCACTGTATTCCTTCTGTTGGGTAGTTATTTGTTAAATGTTGATTCATTGATATTTCCTTTTAAGGATATTCTTTGAGATTATATTTTTGGCAAGGATTGTTTGTTTCTTTTATAACCTTGATATAGATTTGATAGACCTCAGTTCATTTCTCTTCTTTTTGAAAGGATTCATCTGAGCTTTTTGCTAAGGCATTGCGCCTGATGCAGATTAAAGGGCACTGAGCGCCCAGGAATCAACAACCTTCAGGGCATATGATGGGGATGGCACCTTGTTACCTCCCTGCTGTCTCTCAAGAACCACAGATGAGCAGAATTTGTTGATTTTTTTCCCCTGCTCAGGAGTTTGTTTGTTTTTTATTGTCACCTGCCAAGAGAGAGAAACATCAAAAGGCCCTCCTGCACACACTCCAAACCTGCCACCTTTTGGTGTGTGGAACAACGCTCCAACCTATTGAGCTACACGGGCTGTGGTTCCTGCTTAGGAGTTTATAATTCTTTTTTTTTTAAATATTTATTTTTTTTACAGAGAGGAAGGGAGAGGGATAGAGTTAGAAACATCGATGAGAGAGAAACGTCGATCAGCTGCCTCCTGCATACCCCCTACTGGGGATGTGCCCGCAACCAAGGTACATGCCCTTGACCGGAATCGAACCTGGGACCCTTCAGTCCGCAGGCCGACGCTCTGTCCACTGAGCCAAACCGGTCAGGACAAGGAGTTTATAATTCTTAAACTATTGTGATATTTGCTGAATAGAGTTAATGATTTAAATGCTTCTATTCCTCCTCTTTACCATTGTGCTTGGTACATAGAAAGTGCTCAGCAAATGTTTCTTAATGAATGGATTCTCCCATAAATACATTTATTGACTGACTTCTTATTAGCCACTAAAGGACTAGGCAAACTAATACTTTATTTCTAGCTAAGCTTTTGGTAAATTTTCACTCTGGTGACCTAAGTTGGAGGCTGGTGAGCTTGTGAATAATCTTTTTTACTCATGTAACTTTGAAGGCTTTGACTTTTTCCTAGCTATGCACTCTGAGCTTGTTTTTAGACCAGAGTGGCTGGTTTTGCCACTCTGATGTCAGAGGCAACATGGAAAAATGGATACACAGTTAGAAACAATGTTTTTCCTTGAAGATTAGATAAACTGTCCTTTTTTTAAAAAAAATATTTTTATTGATTTCAGAAAGGAAGGGAGAAGAAGAGAGATGGAAATATTCATGATGAGAGAAAATGATCAGCTGCCTCTTGCACAACCCACTCAGGGGATCAAGCCTGCAGCCTGGGCATGTGCCCTGACTGGGAATCGAACCCTGACCTCCTGGTTCATAAGTCTTCATGCTCAATCACTGAGCCACACTGGCCAGGCTAAACTGTTCTTGTGTGCCTATTCTGTGCCTTGTCCTAACTCCCGAACACTCCAACTTAGTGCTGTCCAATGAACTTTCTGCGATGTTGGCAGTGTCTGTGCACTGTCCAGTACAGGTGCCCAGCCACATGTGGCTGTTGAGCACCTGAAATGTGGTTAAGTCTGAGGAACCAAATTTTTAGTTTTATTTAATTTTAAAAAATATATATTTTTATTGATTTCAGAGAGGAAGGGAGAGGGAGAGAGAGAGATAGAAACATCAGTGATGAGAGGGAATCATTGATCAGCTGCCTCCTACATGCCTCCAACTGGGGATCAAGCCTGCAACCCCGGGCATGTGCCCTTGATTGGAATCAAACGTGGGACCCTTCAGTTCCCAGGCCAACGCTCTATCCACCGAGCCAAACCAGCTAGGGCTAGTTCTGTTTAATTTTAATTTAACTACACATGACTAATGTATATAGTGTTGGACAGCACATTTCTAGATGTTTCTGTAAAGCTTTCTTAGAATCTGTAACATTAGTAAGAAGAAATCTCTTTATGTGTGTGCGCTTTAAAAATATATATACTTTGCACTTATACTACTAGTACCATTCTAAATCAGTATAATAGCTGTTCATATGGTTGCCTTAGGTCCTCTAATATACAGGATAAACCTCATGAAGACAGGGACTGTGTAGTTCATTGTCGTATCCTCCATAGGCATTGTATTGTGGTTGGCTTGTACTTGGCAAACAAGCAAGGAAAAAGCAATTTATAGTATAGTATATATATATATAGCCTAATCCAAGGTGTCAGTTGTAAGACTCATCATTATTTTATGTTCACCAAGAAAAAGTGAGCACTTATGTTTAAACTGAAACACAGAGCCTTGGCAATAGTCCTGTGAGGATTGTGATCAATCTTACTAGCCTCTTGTTATTTTGAAATTTCTTTCACCCATTCCAAGGGAGTATTTATTTAGCAGTTTTTCCTTCCTTCAGGTGTATTGCCTGACCTGTGATAGGAAATATTTTGTATGTATTCAGTGATAAAATATAAATCAGCTTCCTCAATTTGTGGCAATTTCCTTTAAGTCTTATGAAGAAGATGGATGAGGTTATTTCTCCACTGACAAATATTTGTTTTTCTAATACCAAATTCATGCCTTATTGCTCTATTTCTGTGCTCTTTAGCTTTTTTTTTTAATTTTTAAAAATTTTTTAT